TGCTAGGATTGCAGGCGTGAGCCACCGCGCCCGGCCCTGGTTTTTATCTTTTATGCCACAGTTTTACTGTCTCTTTGCCATGTTCAGATACACAAATACTGTTGTGTCGCAGTCGCCTCCAGTATCCATACAGTAACACTCTGTAGGGGTCTGCAGCCTGGGAACAGTGGGCTGCGAGGCACCCACCTAGTGGGCAGTAGGCCATCCCATCCGGACACTCCATGGCGTTCGCACGATGACGGTATCAATTGATGACCCATTTCTCAGAACGTATCCCTGTCGTTAAGTGATGCGTGACTGTATTTCCTTTCGGTCATTTTTCTTATTACATAATTTGTTGTTTTAAACAGTTAAATTATGGGTTTTACCCAATTTCGCATTTTGCTTTTTCATGTTTTATTGCATTCTGTAGAAAGTATCTCCCTGCGCTACCACAGTGTCACCTGGTGTCCTTTTGAATGGCCACATTATAGTCCCTCCAGGGAATGGAGGGCAGTGTGACCATGTGGCATGCCGGCTGCTTACTAGCTGCACTCCCTGGTGGTCTGGGAGCCCCTGAGCATGGGGCGGGCTGGTCTGTCTAGGCCCCCAGCCTGCGGGCTGCTCAGAGGGAGGAGGTGTCCCTCCAAGAAGGCGATGGATTGGACAGCCACGCCCCACGCCTGACCTTGGGGATGGTGGCAGCAGCGGTTGCCGCTGGGCCTGGCGGTGCCCTCCCTCCCCGCTCCGGCCACCATGCTGCCTTTGCAGGGCAGAGCCAGGCACCCAGGCTGGGGGAGGGGTGGCCAGCTGGGAGAAGTTGGCCAAGGAGCAAAACCCTATGAGAGGGAAAGGGGCTGCTTTTGTTCCTGTTCCAGGGTCTTGAGCAACAGGAGTCTCTGGGGAGGAGGGGCAGGTGGAAGCACCAGGAGAGGACAGTCGCCTCAGTCCCGTCGGCCCCTCAGGCGCCCTCACCTACCCATGCACCCGGCCATCTGCTCTCTGAGGGGCTGGACCATGTGTGGTACCTCAGGATGGGTCTGGCAGAAGCCACAGCCTGGCCATGGTTTGGCGGAGTGGGTGCCTCTGCCCTGGGAACGGGGCCGTGGCTGCCTCCCAAGCATGAGCTCAGTCTCTGGAAGAGGGTCTGGCCGCGGACAGGGCTTGGACTGGTGCCCCCACCGCCCGCCTGGTGGAGATGGGAGGGCTGTGTCCCCAGCGCTGTGACACAGGCAGCAGCATTCGAGGGGGACTTTTGAGGGGGTTTCTCACCAGGAGGTGGCCCAGGGCTGGAAGGGAGAGGTGGTCAGAGCAGGTGAGCTGGACGGCACGAGGGGCTGGGGACAGCCCAGCCTCGTGTGATGGCGCGCACCTGGAGTCTGCTGCAGGTGCGG